TTGTGTTTTTTTTTCCAGCTGACTAAATGCGGCAAAAATAATGAGAGCAGCCGTTTTGAAATAGATTTCATATGGAATTTTTTACCCGGTACGGCACGTCTTTTCTAGTATTCAGATCAGAATTCGGGCGTAATTATGATAGAGGGTCCCTGTGAAAAGCAGTTGTGAGAGAAGTGGGAATGCATCTTATTTTTAACCTCATTCTGAAACCTAAAGTGGTCAAATAGAAAGAATTTCATAGGCTCATCTCCTACTTTTGTTTCCACCATTTATTTTTCATCGGACCCCTGAGTTTTTGTCTGACATCTCGATCACAATTTGCCTAAAATTTTTTCTGCGAAGTTTTGTTGTTTGTTTATTAATTTTTCTGAATTTGAAACACTAACGAGCATGCTGAGTGAGACAGAAGTTTTACTTCTTTTTCCAACCTAAGTCGCAAATAGTGGTGCCTTTTTTGGGGCACCTCAACTCCCTTTTGATAGCATGTGCTTTGACATTTGATTATTAATAAGTTAGTATAGTTGATTCATTTTTAATTCATCAAATGAACCGAAAAAAGCTGCTTGTTTCACATAATACTACACAAATAAAAACTCGATTTCAGAAATTTTCCAACTGAATATATTTCGCAATTTTTTTAAAATGCATAATTTATACATAATATGGTGTTATAATTTCCAATTTATTACATTCAAAATTAGTTTGGTTGCTTTCAGCTTGCTATTTTCCAAAATATTACATGCAAAGTTGTCTATTTGTATTTGGTGCCACTTTTGCCGCATTGCGTTGGCAATTTAGTAGCATATGTAGCTGCTTTGATAGTGCCTAGATTTTGTACATTGTCAAGGCACCATGGCGCAGATGCGAGGTCAGGAAATCCTGTTCTCCTAGTCGTAGGATCGAATCCGCTGTAGCAGAAGTTTTAATTTTGATGGCTTATTTTTACCTTTCTTTTTTTATTTTACTTTATAGAGCAGTCTTTTCGCGCTAGTGTTTGCGAAGCGCAGCTTCGCCTCTGCGTTAAGTTTCATATCGAAATGTACTGATAAGGCGTACTCATTTTTCTGTACATATGTGGTAAGTAGCGTCATGTTACGAACGACGTTTTTCAATCTAAGTCGCGAATATAAGTGCTGATTTATTTGTTGGCTTTTTTGCCTAACATCTGGTTTACTTTTGCTGCATAGCCTTATACCTTGGTATCTGGTTTCATTGTGGCTAGTTCCTGTTTGGTAAAAACCATTGTTATGAAAATGAATGAGAGAAAAAATTATCCCCTCGGAACAATTTTTGAAAACCTGCTCGGTTTTTTGGAAACTTTTTTTTGACTTCTCGTGAGGGTTCAATAGACAAATCAGAGAGTAGGAATTTTTCTGCATCAGCAGTTTTGGCCTCAGTTTTTTTGAAAAAAATACGTTAGACTTTGTTTTATACAGAGAATTTTTTGAAGTTCAGACCGTTTTTCGGAGTTTTTTTGTCGAAAACTATTCTGTCAAATCTAAGATCAAGGGTTCAATCGAAAAACAAGTAGTATGAGTTTTCATTGCATAAGCAGATATGGGCTGATTTTGTAGACAATACTGTTTGACTACATGCCAAGTTTGAGATAAAAAGTTCACTCGAAAGAACAGATACTAAGAATTTTCTCTGCATAGCGGCTAAGCCCAATTTTACTCAGAAATGACCTTATAACTACGAAGTCTGAAAATATATTTTTAAATAATAAAATGAGGTCAAAATTGCTGAAGCAGAGAAAATTCCTGCTCTGATTTTTCGATTGAACCCTTTCTCTCGAGAAGTCAAAAATTTCCAAAAAATAAGCAAGTTCAAGTTTCAAAAATTGTTTTCATTGATTTAACAAAAAGTTAATGTTCTGAAATATTGACATTTTCGGAAACTTTTTGGTTGTCTCGAAAACTACGGTGCCAAGTCTGAGATTAATTTTAGATAAGTTGCAAGGTTATCAACTGAGTAGTAGAAGAGTGAGCTGATCAGGTGGGGGGGGGGGGGTTTGGTTGCATACCCACATGTTTTAAGATAAGGAATATCTTAATACTTGGCAAAACCTATAACCTATGTTAATACAATGGAAATCTATTCCCTATCTTAATACATAGCTTGCAGAGCGGATGTTGTATTCCCTATCTTAAAACATTATTTCTAATTGTGGGAAGGAATCCAGGCCTTCTCCCCACCTCACACGGGCATCAATTTTTTGGTTAAGCGACAGGTTTTACGATGTTGGTTATGAAGACCAAATATATTTTATCATGGCCTTATAAGTCTGCATGTGAATTTTCATTACAAGCAGACTATGTAATCAAAAAATTTACTTGTGAAAATTTGCAGTTTGGGGAAAGGAAAAAGAGCCGGAATTCGCTATGGACTTGAAATATTTGAGCTTTCGACCAATTTTTGGTCTTCGGTCATTTTCCCAAAAAGGATCGTGCCATTTTTGAATTTAACAGATCAATCGAACGGAGATTTTTTTCTAGTTAGGCAGTTTTATCTGTAATTTTGATAGAAATGTCCTTTATACTTTCTAATTGTCCAATGTTTATCACATTTTGAAAATTTGCATTACCTCCGGCATCAGTATATTTCAAGAAAAATAATATCAAACAGGTACCTCCAGCTTCGGCATATATTTTTTTATCAGTGTTTCACATTTTGACTCTTTTAAAGCTTGTTTTTGCCGTTTCATGGCGTGTGTTTGCGAACTCAAAATCTTTGTATCTGTGTTGATGATTTGATTTCTTGAATTGTTCATATGCGCAGGTTCAGTCAACCGACGCTGTACAGCAACTTTCTCCTTCGGGTAACGCTTATGGAACAAGTCAGCCGATCGCAATCACTGGTTCTCCGAATCCGAAGCAAAAAGGCGTCCAGTTTGCACAGCCTGGCTTTTCTTTGAATACAGCTCGTCTAAACTTGGAAAATGCTGCCGCTCATTCAGCGCCAAACAATACTGTTAACTATGGATCACTGGACAGCAGGCGTTACAACAAAATCGGCCATAAAGTGCCATTACAGTCCATTCCACAGCAATCCCAAATCAGTCCATCTCTCCCACCGTCTTTATTCAATAATATACAACTTGCTTGCTCATATCAAAGTTCAGAGGTCTGTCTTTTTATTTTTGTCTTTTAGTTTTGAATCGATGAACGTAGTGAAGGCTCTTATATATGTCTTGATGATTTTTTTTTGCTTTTTTCTGGTTCACTTTTCGCGGTTTGGCTTAAGTTCAGTTCATTTTTTTTGCGTTTAAAGGAAGGCAAACTTCAGTGTCAAACTTCAAAAGTGTAAAGGTCACGAAAAACGTGATCGACTTCTAATTTCGTAAATGGAACTTGATTATCAGATTTCCCAGCAAAAGAAACTTCATATTTGTTCCAGCTTTTTCATATTGGGTTAATTTTATCGAAAAAGGGTCAAACATAAATTGCTCTAGAAATTTGAAGAGCTTTGAGGGCATAAATTTGTTCTTTAAAATTCGCAAGTTGAAGTTTTTTCAAAAAATAAGTCAGTTTTGTTGCTGTTTCCATAAGTTAACTGAATATTTTCGTACTCTATGTTCTTTCTTAACTTATTAAATGACGGTGTTTTTCAAAAAGTGAGAGATGGTGTTTTTGTAGGATAATGACTCGCTTTTTGCGGACTCCGATTGCATGGAAGATGGTGGCAATGCAACTGCGACACCAGAAGTGGACGATGACGAAGATACCCTGGACCGCATTAACCCAACAATTGACTTATCACAGGTTTGACTCTACTTAAGACATTTTGAAAAGAAATCGAAATTCGAATTACTTTACCAGCTACATATACAACGCCAAAAGCAATATATTATACCTGGAGGGAAATCCTAAAGGGCAGTACTGCTCATCGAGTAGGATATCCTGGAGAGTAAAGAGAAGACAGCCAGGATCAACTCAACAAACAAATTAAATTAAGGGCTGAAATTAAAAAAACAGGTTTTTAGGTAAATTTGAAAAACTGTTTATAGAGTCTCAAACAACTAACTTATGACATTTCATGTATATTAACAGGTATCAAGTCATTTTGTTTTAAATAGTTAAAAGCCTGCACAATTCTAACTGTAAGCGATCTCTGTTTAGCGGTAGTAGAAAATTTTGCCACTTTAAGTAAGCCTTTCGCTTTGCTCCTGCTACATGGTCCACTTTTTTGGGAGCAAATTTTTTTGTCCAATCGCAATTCCATAAACAAGTACTTAAACATCTCAAAAAAGTATAAATCAAAATCAGTAAGCAATTTGTTTTCGTCCATAATTTCCCTAATTGATTCATATCTACGTTTGAAAAAAATTGCTCTCAAGATTCTTTTTTGTAGTTTCATTATCTCGGTAAGGAAAATATCTAGATAGTTCAAGTTTCCCCTATTTCAGTACCCCCAGTTCCAGCTGATCGAAATTGGTGACGGTTCAGGCCAGATTATATCTAGCCCTAATTTCAATAACAGCTCGAACTCGACAATTCCGTTTTCCACCTCTTGTCCGGAGAACCTGGCAAGAAATCGAACTGAGTTGGCTGAAATCAGTCCGGGTCCAGGTAAAAAAGTTTATTTTCTGATTATGGGCCCAAATAATCGAGGCTTCCTAATAGTTCATACGATGTGATTCATGTTAATTGATTTCAGTAGCAGAAAAAGATAAAGACCGGATTAAGAAAGACAATCATAACAAAGGTTTGTGTCTTCACTCACTTCAAAAAACATGTTTTGAGAGCACAATTTGTCAAATTGAGTTTGATTTTCAAGTTGAGAGACGTCGCAGATATCACATCAACGATCGCATCCAGGAATTAGGATTGCTATTGCCCCGAAAAGAGTAAGCAGACTTGCATAAACACTTGCATAAAACATGAAATGGTCCATGTGAACAATCTTCCCCCCTGAATTGACCAAGTGAGCAATCGCCTCCCAACAATCTCTCCCCCCTAAAATTAAAGGTCAAATTGAAACAGTAAGGCATGCAAGTGCTATGCTCATATCTAATAGGCTGAAAAGTATTACGTTTAACCAAGTGAACGATCTCTTCATTGATTTGACTAAGGGGGAAATTGTCCACTTGGTCCCATGAAATTAGTACGACAGAAAGCTTCTCTTAGTCATGAATCCTATTTTTTCATTTTGGGTACGGAGACAAGGATGGAGAAAATTGACACCTTTGCATAAAAAGGAAGGTTTTTGGTTAATACGGAAAATTTATTCGATAGTAATTTATGCGAGAGTACAATGATTTTTAAAGCTTACAGCTCTGCCGCTAAATAATTTCCCCCAAAAATGAAGATGATGTTTGAATGAATTATGACTATGTGGTGAAATACACTAGAATGACTAGTGTTGGTGGTAGGGAGATGAAGATCAACAAGGGCAACATCTTGAAGAGTGCCTGTGAGTACGTTCGGGAAGCTAGACAGCTAGAGGAGGAGTACAAGTTGATGGGATCCAAACTCCAAGACTTCGACAAGGTCGCACAGTGCCTCCTCAGCCGAATCAATGTGAGTAGAAACATAGAGAGTTATACTTTCAAGGTAATTTACGTTGAAAATGATTTTTTTTTCTCCAATTTTCTAATGGAATATTTTTTTAAAACTTCTATGTAATCGCTTAGGAACTGGAGTGTAATTGTAAAAGAGCAGGAGTCTCCTATCCAAAGCCCTCTTCAGACCAGGAAATATCAATGCAAGCGGTCGCCTCCGGACGGCTCTTTGGAGGCTTGTCAGTCATCAACAACGGACAGCTTCTTAACTCCCTTTCTAATAACCAACCTCAAACTGCCAGCAGCACACCTCCGTTGCCCATTTCCCCACGTTCGAACTCGTCAAATGCGTTCGAAAAATCAGCTTCTCAGGGGCCTTATTTGAGTCCCCTGGTAGCCGCGAAAAGTCCATCGATGTCAAGGATCCCGACGGTAACAGGTCCCCGAGGCACTACAGATCAAGCAGCTTCAGATACTAATTCTGAACTTGTCAACTTGCTGAGCACCCAAACTAGCAATGGGCCATCCCTATTACCCTCCTACTTTCACCCTCAGTCTTCGTCCCAGTCCACCCATTGTTTCAACCAATCAGATCACAAGTTGAGAAATGTTCCATCTATCGTCATGACCCCATCAAGACAACACTCTTCGCATGTGCCGGTAAGAGCAGTAGTTCCTCAGAACATGCGAATATCAACAGGAAGTCACTCTGTTAGAATATCAGGAAATCATTCGAATGTAAAATCAGAGCCGCTGACACCGGCTCCAGCTACGAGCGAGTTCTGTCAAGGTCAAGAAAGGCAGCATTCAGAAGCAGGGAAGTCTTCGGTATCTCCGGAAAACTCAAGAAACCAGCAACGTGCTCCGTTCAAACATTCCACTGGTCGGGCAATGACAAAATCTTGCCCTGATCAGCTACCTTCGTCCCTAGCGGATGTCAAACCAACTAACTTAGGAGGTTCGAATTGTCTTAGCGAAGAGTTGTCAGCGGAGGAAATAAATTTGTGCAACGTAGTGATGGATCTGGACTTCTCTCCAGATGTTCCAAGCGCACCTTTGGCCTTCGACCCAAATGAGATAGTTCAAACTGCAAGTAACAATGGATCGCAAAGTTTCATGGACCTGCATGAGGGCAGAAATTACAGGAATAATTGCTTGCCAGATGTGTCCCAGAATTCGCTCGGATGCAATCCAAATGTACCTATCAGTAGTGCCATGGACGACCAGCAATTTGATTTCGACATGTCAATGGCCGCAAACTATTAGAAAAATAGAGGGTAATATTTGTCCAAGTAGTGGAATTAATGTATGCTCAAGTTCAAAAATCAAAAGCATCCAACAAAAATAATCGAAATTTTTGCGAGCTTGCTGTAAGCTGTTCTGTAAAATGATCAATTGTAGTAAGGATATAGTCTCTTAAGCGACTTTTCACTCCCTGATTGTTTTTGGAAGCATGGAAAAACAGCATTTTGGCTTTTGAACTCGTTAGGAAGATTTAGTCAATATTTACTGGTGAATATTAAACTGAACTTGCTCCCCTGTTTTACAGTCTGATTATGGTTGTGCTCTTAGAGCACGATGTGATTAATAATTTTAAATTGTGTAGTGCCTTATCGATATAGATGATTAGATATAATTACATATTGTTTTATGGTTGTAATGTGCATTGAACAGAGTTCACCACATAACCCGAACTTAATCAAAGTTTTGCCAGACATGTTCTTGTGTCTATTACAAAACAAGTAGTTGTTTTCGAAGGAGAACTCTGTTCAATTCCTGTTTGAACAAGATATATTTTCCAGGTAGTGTCTGTAGAATCTGATTATCGATTAGATCATAATCTGAGCAGAATCATGATATTAATTCGAAACTTTAACATGCGGATCTGTTTATTTGTAAAAGGAGCTATAATTGAGTGAATCGCAATTTATTGGATAGACATTTGAATGAATCGATTGATTTTAAAAACTTGTTTGAAAAAAAACTGTAAACTTAAACAAAATGCAAAACTTATATTGGAATATTACAATGCAATGTCGATCCGATCAATAGCAGCAGATTTAGGTTTATTGTAACTTTGACAGTTTCGTTGAACCCTTATGCTCCACTAACTTGATTGTTGCATACTTAGATAGATTATTTGCGTAGCTTAGTTAGATGTTAGTTAGGGTTAGTTAGATTACTGATATAGTACATATTCGCTTATTGTTCTAATTCGCAGAAAGGACAATTCACACTTTCACCACATGTTTTTAAGTATAAAAGAGCGAAGTGATTTTCACTTATATAGGTCTTGATACTTTTTCAGGAAGTCTTATAACTTGTTCACGCTCAAATTTACTACGTTCAAGAATCGAAAGTGAATAAGCAAGCAGGAAAAAATTCAATAGTTTCTGGTGCAAGAAATTTGTCACAACTCATGAACCATTTGCAGAATTCAAGGAGTGTTCGTTGACCAAAACAAAATAGTTTGTTACTTGTTTTTCCCGAACAATTGATTTTGGATGCTGCACTAAATCTAGAAAAATATAATAACAGCGACGCAGCGAGTGAAACAATCAGTGTGTGTGTGTGTGTGTGTGTGTGTGTGTGTGTGTGTGTGCCGACGGTACTTCAAGCTGATTCGGAAATATGACTTTTATTATTGTTGAATGCTCTCATTTTTTTCTGGTTCTCGTTCAGATTCGGTAATAGCCAAACTAACCAAAAAAATGTTTTTCCCCTCATTTTTGTTGTCGAAACTTGCACTTGCACAGCAACTACTACTATCCTTACCCTATTTTGTCTTTTGATTTCTTTTCTGCAAGTGACGCGACGGCAGAAAAGACGTGATAGACTTCCAGATTAAAAATTGGATTTAACCAAAATGTTTTCCAGTATTCTAAAAACTTTTGAAATCCAATTAGCTCTAAAACTATGTTCATTTTTTATTGAAATCTAAAATATTGAAATTTTTTAAAACCAGCGTTTTTGAGTGAATTGACACTTTCTTTACTTAATGTTTGGTATGTGTTTTCTTTGCAAGGTGTTCTTATTATTTTCTGGCATTTCATTGGATTGATTTGTGATTGTTCTTCCCAGTTTGAGGGCTTGATTTGTTTCAAGTGCTTGACTTAGATAGACAATGTGCCTGTCCAATTTCAAAAATAAAATGAAAAGAGGGTATAACTTGTTTTTAGTAATCTCAATTTCATGAAGTTTTGATTGTTTTCCATATTTTGTTTTTATCCTATCGATATCTCGTTTGAAAATTCTATCGCTTAAATGCAGTCTAATCGTTAAAAAAGCAGAAAATTTTTTGAAATGTCAAATGTAGTTTTTATGCATGAGGAGAAAGGATATGCAAAAAGACTGCTCGTATCAGAGCAAAGGCCTGATTGTTCGGACTGCCCTTTAACTAGTTCCGAACAGTTTTCGTTGAACTAAATGTTGACTAACTTCGAATTTCAGGCTGGTAATATCAAATTTGAAGTGTTAAAGTTAGGGTCGTGTATAGAATTAAAACGACCAATTGGCGTGTCTCATTCCAATTTGAACTATTTTGAAGTAAAAAATGAGCAGATCCGGTAGACAAACCTCATGTTTATGTGCTTGTGTGCACACCCGGAGAGGTACATGCAGGACCAGGGATCAATCCTCCAAATGAGCAAATATTCGTTTAAAAATTGGTCTGAATCAACAAAGACCCAAGCATATCTTTTCCTCTTTTTTTCGGACCAACAAGGTTTTTTCAGATACAAATGAGATAAATCGACAATCGTCTTCATCAAAATATTTTATTGCAACAGCAAATAGGAAATGTGTTTTTTCCCATTCCAGTGCATTGCAAGTGGACGGATTATTCGTTCCAACTTTCGAGCAAAAATTGGAATTTTTATGCTTGGTTCGATTTTTTTTATTCAGTCAGTTTTCGACTTTTTAACTAATCAACTTGACGGCAATTTTTTATACCCTCTAAAGGATATTGTTATCCGGAGCTCAAATATTTGGAAAATACCTGTGCTCAATTTTTGTGAAGTTGTTTGGATTTGAAAATTGCTAGTTTGGCCAATTTGGGATAATTAGCGCGAGATATTTTGCGTTCTTAAATCGCGTGTAATCATAATTGAAATGAGGCAAACCATTCAGTTTTTTTATTAGTACATAGATTGGTCAATTTTGCGTCAAAAAATTGGCCTTTAAATGCACTCGCAACATTAAGGGTTTTGCACTGATATACGAGCGGTCTTGTTCTGGCGTTATTCGATAAGCATTTATTCGATAATGTTCTCTGGATAGATTAAAAATACCTCCAACAGCGTTTTCCAAATGTTTGCATAAATCATTGGATCATTAAAAAAGCAAACATCCCAAAAAACGTACCAATGTTTTTCTAATGGAAATATTTTTCAATATCTTGAAAACAGTTGACACCGTAAAATTCAACAAAGAATGCTTTCCAGTCATCAAAGCTTTTTTCATTCCCATTCCAGTTCACATTTTGATTCAAGATGGAATCAAAAGCAATGCAAAACGTAAGATGACTAAAAAGAGTCGCGGAAGCCGTTAATTTCATGTTAAATTTGAATCATAAATTCGCGTCTTGTTTTCCACCCGATGAAATAATTAGCATGCAATTTTTCGTTTTTTTTAAAATTAAATTCGAGTTAAGCTGCAACAAGCATAGTGATAGGTTGTACGAGCTGATATAAAACTGATTGAAGTTGAATGAAAACACCAATTGAACAGTTAACAGCTCTTACATTTTTCCAGACATCTTGAACTTCAATGTGATGAAATAAAAAGTACACGATATTGAATTCTGTTTTCGTCCAAACCGTCACATAAAGAATGAGCAAAGAGAAGCCAGGATCATCCAAGATCCTATTTTCTGATTGTCTCAGCTAACACGTATTTTAAGACCGTTGTGAGCATGAATAAATTCTCTTCAATGACACGAGTACTTCTACCAGAAAGGGAGCTTTATTGGATGCCTAGGTTGATCAAAGATTTTGTGATACCACAGCGAGCTTCTGACAGAAATGTCAATGAACCGACATTTCTCGGCCCGGCGCTAATAAACGGCTAAAACATGGTTCATAAGGAAAATACGTAATTTATAAGCAAAGCGAAATCTTATCATAGTAACATATCACAAAACATCATAAAGTCACTTTTAGTTTATAAATTACAGTTCATTGCTACGAGTGGTACATGGAAAGTACATATAAAGTATGACATAACAACTAACAGAACATATGAAGGTATTTTAACTGCTGAGTTCAGTAGTAAAGACCGGCTCTGTTGGACATCGAAAGCACCTCGACGTCTTCCACGTTAGCCGGCTGGAGGTTGGCGGGTCACTCAGATACCGCGAGACTAAGTCTGAATAGTGTTTCTCAGACTGACGGGAACTTGCCTGTATCCCTATCATCCCGCCGGATAATGGCAAACATCCTACGTATTATATTATGATTTATACTGGTCGTATGATCTTCATAGTTGTGGTGCACATAGATGAAAGCAATGGCTTTCAGAAGAAGAGTTAAATGTTTACCAAACAGTTGTTTTACGTAACGTGATTCTGTTTGCCAATCTGTTCGGATTCAGGATTATAAATTGCTTGGCATATGACAATCATCCATAACTCTCGTGAGCAGCGGCAATTTCGAAGAGTTAGTCTTCCAACAATTCAACACATCGACATATGTGGACCAAAGTTAATTAAAAACTAGTATTCAGTTATTTAGTAAAGTCCATAAATAAAAAAAATCGGCGAGCCTTTGACCCCTTTTGAAACTGCGGCGCGGCTCATTGCCAATACTGGCTTCTGGTTTGTGTAATAGGTCATTTTTTGGCGGCTCTTGATTCTAGGCCAGACGAAAAAAAAAACAGTTGACAAAACGGTTTTATCCAAAAGTTGTCAATGGCTAAGCAATCAATTGCTTACCCTACCAGTTTATCTTGCAAGTAGTGAGTAGTGACAACGCTATCTTTTTATTTTCCTAATTGCAGAAATGATCAAAACGACATTTGTTAGTTCTCTGAAAATTAAATGATGTGATTCAATTTGGAGAATTACAAGAGGTAGTTTCTGACTCTTAAATAAGATCAGAGTTTGCCTTCAAGCAATTGTTTCCCACTGCAAGTTACAAAAATTGCTTCTGTTGATAACAAGCAAACTTTAGGCAAATGCAAAAGATGGAGTTTGCGCAAATTAGAAATTAGGTATTATCAGCCCATTAAATATGCAAAGTTTTGTATCTATTGCTTTTGTACTTATGTAATTATGTTTTGTACTGATGTAAGTTGCATGATTATAATCCAGTGTCCCATTTCCAAAAAAAAATTCCAATTTTTTGCAGATTATAAAGTGCAAAAAAGACACCTTGATGGCTCTCTAAGCCTTCCAATCAAAGTCGCTTTGAAACAATTTTAAAACAGGGGTTCTCATTATACTCTTAACCATAAAATGGCCACACCTGAGAGTTAGTTTCACCAAGAAGCGCCATTCTTTAAGTGTAGCAACTTGCCTGGCTACCCGCCTTACGAAACCGAGTTTTTTAGAAATCACCGGTGTTGACACCTTCCTATTGCATCATAAGTTTCACAGTGCTAAAACCTTTGTGGCGGTTACTGTTCATGGCAATTTTGTGAAAGCGTTTTTTTTTCTTCAAAAAATAGCTTTCAACAATCATCAAGCGATTCTTTCACAATACTAAAGGGTCTCCACTAACGCAGGAGAGATGAGAATAACAGTCGTCTTTATCCGAAGACCTGTAAGACAACACATTGACACAGTTCGTAGGCATCAAAGACCGTATCCGAAGGGGGCAAGCGCAATACAAAAATGCCAGATGACCCCTGAGGCTTTCACTTGCGTAGGCAAGGCTCTCCAAGGTTCGAACTTTTGTCTCTACAAACTGGGCAATGCGTTGTATGATGTTAGCAGATAAAACCTCGTTTGAGGAACTACTGCTGACATATCAGAAGCGGAAGTAAAGCGACTCCTATATATCAATATATCGTTCTGGCATTAGGAATTAAAAATACCAGCCCAACAGCTCAAAAACTTAGACCCCATTAGATCCGATTAATGCGGACCCCACCGCTAAGGACTACACCACACTAGGAGGTGTCGCAATGAAGGATCCAACTTCGAGAAAGCTCATTTTAGCAATCATCAGCAGATCTTGTAGAACTCAGTTCCCGCACCCCTGGTCTCGACAAGCGCAGAGGTGGGGACTGTGTTCTGGAAACGGCAGTATGTTCTCAAAATCAGGACACAACCATTTCAGAAGAGCGATGGCACAAAGAATTTCAGTATTCATTGAGATGCTGAAAATTGAAAATCAAAAGCATGGTTTTTATTGAATTGGATTCTGGTTACGGTTTTAAACACAGCGTGAATCTAAAATGGGTTTAAAAAATTAGATTGCCGATTGGAATAGCTGTTGGATACTACCTAAATAACGATCATTCCGTATTAAAAATATTCTCTGTTTCGGTTAATCTGGGCTAACAAGATGTTGTAATGAATTCGTTGAACCTGTTCGCGGGCAAACCTGATTAGATTACATTTTTTGTTATGTTATTTGAAACGTTCTAGTATCTCTTTTAAGTATTGGCATTTGAAGTGGGGAAATTGATCGGGCTTTCGTGTAGCTTTTGGGCCTGTTCTCTTGACAGAAGGTTAGTTTGAACGAAAAATATTTTAGCCAATTAAAATACTATGGAATCAATCTCAATTCTTTTGTCACACAAATTTTATAAAAAGTAATAATTTCTCGGGCTCATCATTAAGAAAAGACAAATTTTATATAGTTTGCGATTTAAATTCAAGTTTGGAGGAACACAGTTAGACCATATGACCCGTTTTGGTGATTAAATTAATTTTTCTGCTAGTTTCGTTGATCGGATGTTTTGTCACGCGGGGTTTCCCACAGATGCCTCAGAGGTGTTAATTTAGTGACAAAATGTGCATTTGTATCTTTATTTAATTCCCCTTTTCAAGTCTACTCTTATCAAGGTAATCATGTGGCTTCAAAAAAGGAGGAACATATTCCTCTGGTCCATTATCACCAGAATACAATCTATCTATAGTCACATTACTCGAGCAATTAAATAAGGAACAAAAAACAGGTAACGACGTTTAGAGCTATTTTTGGGTTCATACTTTTCTGAGTTATCATTTATAGCTATTTTTGATGTTTTGCTTCTATTCCCGATATGAAAAATTGAACCAGAATATTTTTTGGGACTCATGTTTTTTTGAGCATACGAAATTCTGCAACAAAAAGCCACCCCTCATTTAACAAAAAATGCTTATGCTATCAAAAAAATTGAATCGCATGAAATTTTTTGTGAAATAGGGTCAAAAACATCCAGAAACGGGATTTTGACTCGTCAATTTTGCATTTTAATTGACTCGTCAATTGAATTTTTTAAAATGTTTTAAAGGAATTGAGTAATCGAATTTCCTCTATTTAAAAAAAAATTCGCTCATTCCTCGGGAAATTCCCCTCACTGACAAAAACTCTGCATTTGTATTGAATATCATCAAAATCAGCCCAGCGTCCATTAGATAACGAACTCGCTACTTGTTAGTTTATTATCAAGTTACTGATCTGAACTGCCTTCGAAAAAGTATCGAAATCGTTTATAACTAGTTTGTTCGCAGGTTTATGACTATTACCACTGCGAGGTATTTAGATACATTATCCACCATCAAAGGTGACGATTGGCTCAACCACGTAGCATACAGGAAGTTATATTGACCTATGATCCTATTCAGCCTGGTTTAATTCAGCGATTAAATGGACATATTTGAGATAAATTTAGCTTAAAACTATTTGAGTCATTTTGTTCAGATAACTTCTAAATTTAGATTAACGGAATATTTTCCCAAACGGTAAGATGTCAGTTTTTATTCAACTCTTTTCTGTTTGTGAATAATATTGTAATTGGCAATAAAAAGTTGTTTCCAATTTCAAAATAACCTATTCTGAGAAGTTTTTTTTTCTACTTTTTTGTTTTATCACTCAATGAAACCTCCTCAGGAAAGGGAAATTTGAAAAAGGAAAAAATTTTTCATCGCCAATAAAGATTTTCCAGAAATATCGCTTTTCGTGAAGTTTAAGCAAATTAATTTTGAGATTTTTTTACCTTTTCAAATAATTCACCTACTGAATCTTTAATTGTAAAAAAGATGCAAATCAAGGATATTTCCGAAAGGGATCTTCAATGTTTTCAAAACTTCTTACGTCCTTTATTTGAAAATGACCAAATAGGTTTACTGAGTTCTCTCAAACTCTTTTATGGCCCATTTTTGGCATCAAAATTATGGCGTTTTAGAGAACTCGGAAAACCAATTCGGTCGAGTAAAGACGAAGTAAAAGACGAAAGTAGTTTTGAAAAACTTGAAAATCTTTTTCGAAAATATCATTGCTTTGCATCTAATTTTTTTGAATCTTTCATTTGATTTTTTGGCGTCGAATGCGACCGCAGAAAAAATTAAGGGTCAAGGTCGGTTGAAATTATTTGTCGATAAATTATTTGTCAACATTTTGGGTGACGAGGAGGTCAAATCCCTGCACATGTCTGGCGCACGCATTTCCTTCAGTTAGCACATTTCGTTAAGTGAGCCATGGCAACGATTGTGTGTGAGAATGAGCTCTCACTTGACCTCTAGCTACAGGCCTACCACAGCCTGACCGATTACGGCTGCAACAATAATACCATGTGAAAGTTCTAGACGCAAAAAAAACGGCCTTGAGTCGCAAAAAAAAAGAATTTCGCTCAACAAAATAACACAGTCTGGAATGTGGCGAAATAATACAAATGGGCTATCCTCGACAGGACTGTTTAGGCCTACTGATAGCTCCTCTTCGATTCGCAGGAACCTCTTTATTTGTATATTAGCATAAAAATCGCGATATTTGGCAGAAAATTGACTTTAAAAAGCAATTCAAGACATTCATCGTCGTGTTTAATTCGAATGTCCTCTAACTCTCAAGGTTCAAAGACCAAAAGGTTCAACTTATTGTCCCTGAAAGGACCGAAATTTTAAATCCTCAGGGGAACTGTGCAAATAATTTCCGTTTTCGTCAATTTATCCAGTTCAGTTAATATTTCTTGTTTAACTAAACTTGGCTCCTTAAAAAATGATTTTTACTTGTATTTTTTCCGTTGAACTTAACGCGGCTAAAAACACCATAAATAAACATCATAAATAATCTAGGTGACTGTTATTGCCCAAATGTTCTGCTGGCTTACTTTACGAGGGTTAGCTTTATACCATTTTTCGAGCAGTGATCTTAAAATTATTATCACAAAAACTAATACCAACAACTTAACCACTTTCCGAAACATTATTTTTCAATATTGTATGAGCTTTCTAAGCCATAATGTAATATTATCAAACACAGGAGCGTGCCGTGTGACGTTCCAGTTTTTCGAAGTCCCTCCGACCGAGCGTAAAAAAAGCCTGCGGACCAGAAAAACTGGCAAAAATGATAATGTTAAATTTTCGACAGAGCTAGAAAATAATAAGCTAAATCATGATATTCAACTTTTGCTTCTTCAGACATGTTTTTTTGACAAAATTTGCTCGGAATCAAAGTTTTTTTTTTCCTTGGCATAGAAGATATTTAAAATGAGTTCGAAAAGTGTGCTGATTTGAAAGTAAGGTTTATCCAGCATGACACAGAAAACTTTTTTTGCATTAATAGCCAAAAATGCCGTTTTTGTCATTTCAAAACAGTTTTCGCCAGAAACGCCAGAAACGGCGTTTTTTAGCGCAGCCGTTCATCTCAAAATTACTTAATGACGCGGTCGGTTGACAAATGATGTATAAAAGTACAAAAGAGGGCATCCTTTGGCAGCGAAAAAGTTGAATCAAAATTGTTTAATAAAGGGGTTCACCCATCAAAAACCGCAACCCAAAACTGTTATCTGAAATGCACACACAATCAAAAGTTTCAATAATCTCCGAAAACTTATAAATCAATTTTAACTGAGCTTTTAAAATCAGAAAATGATGGCTGTGAGTACATTTTAAAAAATTTCAAAATCTAGTTTTAATTTCATTTGTCCGTATTTTTTGTGTACATGTTTGTTCTGGAAGATAGGTCCCAAAAAATATAATTGGAAAAAACTGAAGCAAAAACAACAAGGTTGGCCGATTACTATGCAAGTAGCACAGAATCTTCCGACCACAGTCTTAAAAATTACAAAAAAAAAACTTTTTCAAATTGGTGTCGTTTTTTTTCTGCATGTTGTGATAAAACGATCTGATAAAACAAAAAAATAGAACTTAGGCTTTTTTGAGAGTCATAATGTAATTAATCAATTGGAAAAAAAATATTGAGAAAAACGGCCAGAAAAACGAAAAAAAAAATTTGAAAAATTTCAAATAATTTTATTTTTTTTTGCGGAAATATTTTAAGTTTTCAAGCTTTTGATTCCCAAAACGGCGCTACAAAAACTCCAAAAACAACTACCTTTACTTGAGTATAACTAAATTTTCAGGGCTTAAATTAGGCTCAAATAAGCTATGGTAAGCCTACACGGTCACATTATTAGCCCGAAATTAGACCAAAAATTGAAAATTTCAAACCGTTTTTTCTCGACATTGAGAAAATTTTCCAATTTTTCTAAAGTCGTTTGAATCACGACTGAAAACTTTTCAATATGATATGTCACTCGACCCATTCAGATGATTTTTTGGGGTACCTGATTTTGCGAAAACGAAAAAAAAACAAAATACACCCGAATACAAAGTTACTCCCCATTTTCAATGGTCGGAACAACAATATAGGGTTTATGAAATTAATTGCCACACAAATAATAGAAAATAAGCGTACAGTCGTATTTTTTGCGTTATTGAAAAAGGGATTTTAGCCCATTTTTAATCAATTATAGCAAACAGGCGGGTTTATGTAACAAAATATCCCAAAATAATGAAACGTATTCCATTATAGTAGGGCGTCTATAGCGTTTTCTCGAGAGAGCTAATTTTGAAAAAATTTGTAAAGCAAAAATTTCGTTTGCAGAATAATAAAATTTTCTCAGTTTGCTGATCGAGCAATGAAACTTTAAAATACTACAAAAAACTTTAAACATAAACTGTTTCGCCAAAAGCTAGGCTTTTCTCAGCAAGCATATCAAGCGATAGAACACTAAATTTTTCATGATTTTTCTTAACATGAATAGGTCCGAAAATATAGATTTTTTAAGCAGGCTCTGCGGTTAATACTTAAGTATCTTAAGATAATTCAGATCCCAAAGAAGCATGCAAAAAATGTTTCCTTACGAAACTGTTCAAGCAAATAAATTTTAAAAAGCTCTAAATTATTTCAAAACGCGAATCCCCCTAAAAAACATTCTGAGCGAGCTCATCATGCGAGGAAAGTTTTTCAAATTATTTCACGAAAAGTTTCTCATGAAAACCTGAAATATTGTTCGAATTGAATTTGTCTGAAACAATGACTTGTAATTTTTTAACGAAATTTCAGATTCAGAATTTTCAGTGTTGGAGAATAGTCTTGCCACGCTGAGTTTAGTGTTGGGGTTTCGAAATAGCTCAAAAATCAATGAGCAAAATCTTTATATTTAACTTTTGCTCACAAGCATTTTTTCTGCTGCTTCGTCTGACACCTTTTTTTTTAAACCAAATTTGCTTGGAATCACAAATTTTTTATTGGCTTAGAAGATTTAAAAATGGTTAAAACATTATATTTTTAACGCTTCAAAAATCAGAGAGAGCAAAATCTTGAGAAAGTATCATTTTGCACAAAATTATGGCTGAATTATTACATTTATTGGCATGTTTTTTTCAAAATTTCACTATGCTCTCGGATAAGCTCCATTATTTTTTGAAATAAATTTTAGATACATCAATTGGAAAAACATTTTTTTACGTGTTGCCTTCATCTAATCTTTCTCTTAGTTAAGTGGGTCTGTACTTTATATTGGTGTGGTACTCACAGATATTAAATTTCTAGCTAACCGGTGCAAATTAAAGGCTTCTATGGCACTCTGGGGGATGTTGAGGGGATGGTAGATGGGGGGGGGGGGTTATAAACCTGACGGGGTTGACCAGATAAGGGCCACTCAGTGGTGTAGTCCCCCATTTGGGCTAAACAATCGGAAGCTCTAATCGCCCTGGCATTTAATCAATTATATCGCTAAGCCTCAATTCAGTTCGTCCGTCGGACAAAACATTTACCCTCGAGTTTTAAAGGGATTTTAAAATTATCTTCTATATAATGGTACTTTTGAAATATGTTTATGGACAAAAAAGAAAATTTGTCATAGCATTTTATTGGTTATTTTTAGCACCAAGATTGCCTAACTCAGGTTGCTAAAATTGATTACATGTTTTTGTCTGATTTCTTCTTTTAATTAAAATTACATGAGTATCAAATTCGTTTTATCTGATCGGATTTGGCAAAATTATTCTAATCTTACTAGTTATAAATGAAATATTTTCAATTACTGCTTAAAAAGTAATACATCTAACTTTATGTCAGTCAATATACTTTACCTATTTTCAAAAATCTGGAAAGGTCTATGATAACTTGTCTACAGGTAATGATAAAATTATATTACAATATAACCAACGCGAAAATTTTTTATTGAAAATTGTTAAATTGTATGACCCGAAAATTTATATATTGTTTTTGAAATCAAAACCCAGTTTGTGATCAATTTCATGTACAGATCTACGATATCCGCGAGAAGTTTCTGGAAATAACCTAAATTAATTGACCTTTGCGCGTTCTTTGTTTATCATTGACTTTCTGAGCTCTTCTCTTAAAATATTCGAAACCAAATACACTTTGTTCAAAACTGCTCTTTTGTGCGTTTTTAAAATCATTTGTGAATGTCCTGTAAAGGGGGTTCTCTATACATTAACACCCATCATCACACACTCAAACTAATTTTCTAAATAATATATCCTCAAAAAATAAGGTTTTTAAACTTCATCATATTGCTGATTTTTTTTTAATGAAATGATTCCTTTTATTTCAGCAGTCCGTCGTTAATGTGTTGATCAGAACTAGTCAAATCTAGAGTGAAGTCCACGCAAGTCAGCCAGATGCTTTCCTGCTATTTGTTGTTCACACTTCTCCTTCAACGAATTTCCTGCAGTTCCAGTAAAAAATGGAAAATTGGTAAGTCATTTTCTTTTTAATGAGTCATTTCCAGGCCAAATGAGTCATTTAATAATCACGAACGATCAAAGAAAATAAAGGAACAAAAAGAGAACGAAGCGAGCGTCCCTCTTGCCTAATCCGCTTACAATTCACAAAATACACAGTTTGGCCTCGTAATGATGAAATTAGGGCTACCACGACAATAAACAAAAAGGCTTTATGTTAACTTTGAGAAAACTTTTGTACTTTAGTTCATATTTACACAAAATATTTTTAGCTACAATTTCTTTTTTTGTTCTGGGCCCAATGGGCGTCTAATTTTTTGTCGCCTTAATGCCCGCTTTGTAAATACTAAAAGCTTATTTAAATTTGGTGGTTGGGTTTTTCGACTGTTTTTCAGAGCATATTTTTGTTTTTTTTTGTCGATTTTGTTCTTTCGGTCTCATTTTCCCTTCGGTAACTTGCAATGCTGCGCTTGTGTCTGTCTTATCGCAAGTGATGCAAAACTCTGACTGGCTGCAGTGTGGAAAAATTAACAGGCTTCGGGCAACACATCATATGAGTAATAGTCCTAGAAGAATATCATATCGAGTTTGTTTATAATAAAAATGTTTTTAGTTCCACAAACTTGCAGGTCAAATGATCATATTTATGATCGTTCAGACACTCGCGAAAATTGTTTTACTCTAAAATGTTTTTTTTTTTGCATCCATACACAAGAATATTATCATTTTTTTCCGACCATTGAAATTTTGTATTTTAGTTTTTTCCCGCGCAAAATCAGGTGCCACAAATAATCGGAATGTCGAATGATATTTCATTTTAAAACTCTTTCAATCGTGATTCAAACGACTTGAAAAAGTTTCAATTTTTTTTTCTCAGTTTCGAGAGAAACCAGTTTGAACTTTTTGACTTTTGGCCCAAGTTCAAGAGAATAAGGTGAGCAAGCAGGCTTAATTTAAGCCAATTTGAAGCCTTAAAAACTTATTTTTACTCATGCAAAATTAGCTTTTGAAGTTTGCTTGTGCCATTTTGGGAATCAAAAATTGCAAAAAAAATCAAAATTCATAAGATGTTTACAAATTTTTTTGATTTTTCTACATTTTTTTTCATTTCACTGACAATTTTGCTACAAAAATAGTTTTCCAATTTGCTTTTTGTGTTATGACTGTCGAATATACCTAAATTCTGGAAAAAAAATCTTTTTGTCTTTCTTAAGACTGTGGTTGGAACTTTCTGTCCTACTTGCACTGTAAACCGCTTTCCTTGTTTGGCTTTGCATCTGCATAATAACAACAACAACAAAACTTTTATTTATATCGGATAATACATCCAATACATATTTACAAATTTAAGTGACCACTCCTCTTAAAACTCTCGAAGTGAAAATACAGAGTTGTTTTTCCAATTTAGTCTTCATAACTCCAGCGTTAATAAATAATCGGAATAAAAACTGAATTGAGTTTTTCTATTGAAATATTTTAGATACAATCATCTCAAATAAGACCACTTCAATTTACTCCGGGCATAAAAATTGTTTCCCTCTAAACATGCAAAGGATATTTTTCTAGCATCTGATTATTTGAAAAATCGTTTTTATGAAAATTAATCAAGAAAAATTTTTTGGGCGTTTTTTTTTCAACAAAACTGCACATTTGATTACTGAAATTTTAGTTTGTTTGAGCTGCCCCAAATTTTTAACATCAATTCCTAAATTTCAAAAGGCCGGCACTTTTGTGGTATTTGCACTGCAAGCCGGGTATTCTTGTTTTTAAGCCTTTCATTTGGCTTCATTTCAAAGAGAAACAAAAGGTACTTGACAGCGTATTTTTTTTGTTGATTGCTAATTACTTTTTTAAATTTCTATTCAGGTGTCATAAGTGAGTATCCCGATTTGTATTCAAACGTGGAATACAAAACCAGCCTGGGCTATTATCAATCACAGTTCGAAGGCGTCTCCGTGGAAGATGTCTTCGAGTTCCTGCTTAACAAGACATCATTCAGTGCCATGTCATCAGGTAGGATTCTGCTTACCAATCCAGAAATCGGCTGTGTTTTGAGGCTCGTCATCCGTTCTTTTTACGTAATTTTCAGCCAGAAAACAATCGAAAAAAGGAATGCATGCAGCTCATAATCAGTGGCAAAACTCTACGTTATGAACTGAATAGCTCGTATTTTTTTTGGTAATTTTCAATATTTATCAAAAGTCATAATTTTAATCTTTATTCTTGCGAGAGTGTCGTGTAATCAAGAACTAGTCTTTTTTCGTGGAACAATTACCAACCTCATGCAAATTGCTACAGAAATGACTTAAAAACTTCAGAAATATTTTTTCCAATTTTATTTTGGTAAAAATTTTTAGAACACTTTGTTTCCCATAGAGCGCTAGAAGAAATTTTTAGCTTTCATTTTTTAGTTTTCACAGCTTTAGCTTTTCCAAACTAGTCTTTTTTTTCTAAATAAAATCAAGATTTTTCAGCCAAAAAGACTAATTAAAAGTTAAATTCTTCGGTAACGAACATTACTCGATTGCTTTACTCGCTCGAATTTGAACTAAAACTTTTATAAAAATTTGTTCGAACCACCCCTGAAGGGCTTCAGTTTGATATATCACTTGTTTCATTCCAATAATTTTTTGTGGTAGCTGATTTTGTGAGGAAATAAAGAAAATTTAAAAAATTGAAACACAACCGAATACAAAGTTTCTCCCCATTTTCAACGGTCGGAACAAAAAAGCCTTCATTTGAGCTTTGAGTGTTATTAATAATCCCTCAATTCTCGATACTCTTTTCTCAATAAACAAAAACAAAAGCCTCGACTCTTTTTTGTATTTTAAACGTTGTTTGTTTTTAGTGTGCAGAATGATAGAACATGAGCGTATTAGTGTGCTGATCAGCTATGTCTCTTGCTACTCCTCCAATGCTCTGGTGGCCCAGACCGACACTCTCCGTCTGCCCCACCTGATGTTGGGAACAAACAGTGGCTGCAGTTTCCACGACCAGAACCTACACCACATACTCCCATCTGTCTCACAGGTTTGTAGATAGCTTTTCCAGTGGTAGTTTTCCAGTGTAACGATTTTCATAAATATGCACTGAGCGTTATCCGATCAAATTTTCTAATTTTAAGAATCTCGAAGTTTTCTGCCAACAAATTCTCGTGAAACTGTTCGGTTTTCTGGCAAACATTTCCCGTGACTGTACATTTTGCAATAACGTGCAATAGAATAATCTAAAACCAAAAACTTGTGTTTGTGTATTCTTAATTTCAAAATTGCTAAAAATGTTTTTGCATACTTTCGTTTTTACACATGATTTCTACATTTTTGCTTTTTTTTAAAAAAAAAACAATATATGGTACACTTTTTTATCTACAAAAATGTTATGAGTTAAGATATAGAAGTTATCTATTACATGATTTTTGAATTGAATTTCTTCTGAAACTTTCAACTTCTCTCCAGGGATCTCTTGTTGGGGGATTACACCCTCTTCTCCCACTCAATCCAGACATCTCCCCCATCACCATGGAGCAAGGGGGGACTACGTGGGACACTACAGGGGGGCAGAATACGAATGGGAAGAGGTTGTTCACTGTGAGTCTGGGTGGTTCCAGTGAATTGGTGGAGGAGCCTCTGATAGATTTCATAGTGATGAGGAACTGGACTCGGCTGGTTTTAGTCCATGACAATACAATGTCCAATGGTTTCGGTAAGTGACATGGTGAAAAATTATTTCTCTCTAAATTATAAATTATGGGAAAATGTGAAATCAATTCGAACTAACGCTATGCAAATGTTTTCTCGAAGTTTCTCTTGAAGCGAGATTTCTTGTTTAGGCTGACGAAGATGATTTTCTAAGAAATACCAGAGCGCAATAAAAACTACCACAGAACGACGTTTTTAGGCTTTTTGGAAGGTTTGATCGGAGGAAAATTGTTTTTTTTTTGGAGCGCTGTTACCCAAATTACAGCAAAACTTTAGGGTCGGTGTGCGCTTTCAAGGCTCTTCCCCCCCCCCCCCCCCTCCCCACATCTTTTAATTATCAATTTGATGGTGTAACGAGGAGTCTTACAAGGTTATGAATGAAGACTAAATATATATGCTTGTAGCGGGCGAATTACTCCGCATGCCAATTTTTGTAAGATTCGGACAATGTGAACAAAAATTACTCAAAAAGTCTTTCAGGCGGGGAAAAGGAAAAATCCCTTTTTAGGGTCGGTCAGGCAAAAATGGAAGTGTTTAAATAGTACCAAAGAGGGACCCTTTAGGTGATGAAAGCATCGAATTCTGAATTCCGAATCCTCCCCTCCCCTAGATCCACTACTGGTATTAATGAAGTTGAAGGTGAAAATTTGTAGTTTTAACGGGAAACTATCTAAAACTACGACTTTTTCCTTTAAAATGACTCTTTAACCGAGCAAACCATTCATCATGTGGTAGCTTGTGATTGAAGCAACCAGAATTCTCTCTAGAGTCTTGCTTTCTTTCAGACGATGATCGGAATGTTCGATTCCGGAGGAAGTTGGCGCAGACTAATGTGTTCCGATACGAGATCGATACTAGCAAACAGTTCGAGGTGGATCTAGAAACAGAACTCAGGTAAAATGTCAGTTAACAAATAGTAGCTAGTTGTACGCAGTGTTCTGAATACGTTTACTGAATTTTTAATTTTGAAAAAGCAATTGAAAATCTACAGAAATTGCCGGTTGCTGTGCAAGTAGCTCAGAAAGTTCTGACGCCATTTTTCTCAAGTTGATATTTACAGTTTTTTCTTCAAATTTAAACGAATAACAAAACGAATAACAAAAACTTTCTTTGTTATTCGGGGGACGTTTTTTTTTTCAGGGATTCGACACCCTGCCGACCCAAAGGGTCCCCCCTTTGGTACTTTTCAAGATATCCATTTTTGGCCGACCGACTCTAAAATTTTTCTAAAGGCGCATTTTTTTTGTCAAAGTTTTCCAAAAAGTGCCCAAAAATGCCTTTTTTGACGTTTTTTTTCAAAAATTTGCCTGCGGCACAAAATTTGGCCACAACAGCGTCTTTTTACTGCTTTAGGAGAGCTCGGAAAATCAACGGCCTTTAATATGAAATATCACCTGCTCCTGTCTGACAATTCCAATTTTTCATGTTTTTGGTTCCAAATTTGCGTGTGAGAAAAAAAATACCCGAATACAACTTTACTCCCGAATATTATTGGTCGGAAGAACAAAACTCAATTTGAACAGTGAACGTATGCTGGGATTAAAGATGAACTTAAGGTATAATCGAGTAGAGAATAATCGAATAATCGAATCATATTAAAATCTGACAATCCGTCGGAGGAAGTGAAATTTTAAAGTTTCAATAGCTTAAGTTTGGTTGAAATAACAGTAGTTGTTTTTTAAATTCTTATTTTAAGTTAGAAACAAATCTCCGTGTACTGAATGCAAACTTGAAAAGTATATCAAGAAGTTTTAGTGATGATACTTGGTCGAACTTTAGAAAAACAAATAGAAAAAAATCCCTCTGAGAAAAACGATCAGTTGCTTTTCGCTATTTCACAGAGTTTCTCTGTTATCAAAACAGGGCAAACTGAATGTCAATTTTTTTGCTACCTTAGGAATCTCAAACTTTCAACGCGGTAGCTCAAATTTTTTTAAAGTTATTTTGACGTGATTGCGCGTTTCTTGTCTGAACTACCTTTTAACTAGGATATAAGTTCTGAAACGCCAAAATTTGAGACTATTTTTTTCCCGATATTATTATTATTTTTTGAAATATAAACGAAACGAAATCACGACTAAAAAGCAAATTTCATCTGTCCTTGAGTGGAACAAAAAAACTAACAAATTTATATTTTGTACCATTTCGTTTTTGTATTGAGTGGAGCAAATTTACCAAATAACAGGTTCAATAACGAAAAGAAAAATAATTGAAAAATTGAAGAAAAAACCATCAATTTTCACTTTTTTTTGTGATTTTAGCTTTTATCGAAGAAAATTCGGAGACGAATTGCTGTGTTTTGAATTCCATTAAATCGTGAGTCGAGAAAATTCCGTGAGAGATTTCTTTGGTCACTCTAAACTACGGCGTTGTTTTGTATTAAATTTATTGTGAACATATCTTTTTAAAAATAAATCAGCCACACATAAACCAATGAAGTGAGTGAAAACTTATGAAATGGTATTACAAAATTTTTAAAAAATGGTTATTTGAAAAAATTTAAAAAATATATTTTTCAAGTTTTTTCTCAAAGTTGATTATTGTTTTTCTGAGAAACAGGTGCTATTTGCACAGCAACCACCGACTACTTGTGTTAAGTCTCTTCTATTTAAAAATTATATACTATTTGTGTTGGTGTTGTGCAGCACTTTCAACAAGAGTGACAGCTTCGAGCACTTCGTGGTGATAGGGAGTGGGGAGAACTGCAGACGGGTGATGGACTGCGCCTCCCACTACAACATGTTCACGTCCACCTTCACATGGATACTCGCTTGTCCCGTCAGTCATTATGAGAAACAACCACTGTCTATTCTCATTCACCCAAACCCCCGACATCCTCAACAAATTTACCCAAATCTCTACATTTTTTTCTACCCCTTAATACCATCTTAATTAAAACAAATTTTTGCTCAAACTGCAAGTGTTTGAACAACATGTTCATACTACCGAAGTATTGATTTGAAAAATTTAAAATTTACTTTTTAAGTGGTTTTTGCATTTTAGTTGGGATGGGGGAGGTTTAGAGGTTAAAGAGTTTAATTTGTTTCTCGTAAATTTAATTAACTTACTTTTTTTAAATCAGGATTTATTGCCAAGTGCATAAATGAAGCGAGAAAACTGAGGTTCAATTTTAAATTGCTGTATTTTTACTCTATTTTCGTTTGGTTTGATGAGGGAATATGGCGTACTCAAAAAGTCTATAGACGTTCATTTTTGGCTTCGCATGGAATCAAATTACTTTTTAAAAGTTCTTGGTTATGAACCGTTAGTAAAACAAGAGTGTTTGAATCAGGGCGAAGCTCAGAACAATTCGACTGATGTTAAATATATCTGCAGAAGTATATTTTAGTGAAAAAAAAAGTAAAATCTTCAAAAATAGTTGAAAATACTTTCATGGTTTTTTGCATATCTTCCCGCCACGTTTCTTATCTGTATCTCATCTACAAAATCGTTTTTGGACCCAGTAGCCTATTACTTTGCAAACCCCCTATTATTTTGCAAAAGACGTTCTCTCGTATAACATCTTTTTAATTGTAAGCTCAAGGAATCAAAATATTTTAGATTTTTTTTAAAAAAAATTAAAAATGACTATCGGGCGCAAATAATCCGCACTTTTCTGGGAAAAAAATTGAATTAAAAAGCGCATAACTGCACTTGTTTTTTATTTCTTACTGCAATTGAAACAACATAATTTTTTAAGGATTTTTAAATCTAAACAGAAAATATCAGAAAAACTCAACATATATGAACTTGAAACAAGAGCGTGCAAAAGTTTTCTTTTCGATTCAACATCCATTGCAACTTCTATCAGTTTTTGTAGCATGGTTTCAATTATCTCTGCTTTTTCATATTTCTTGAGACAAAGGAAAAAATGAGATTTTTGTTGACTCGGAGTTGTTGTTTTTACGGTACAAGTAAATCCCAGATATATAAATGAATAAGAAATAGAAAAAAGGCAATGTAAGTATGATAACTTTAAATTGATTTCATATCAGTTCATAATAATCCAAAATCAAAGATAAACAACGATAGCCGGTTACTGTGCACGTGTCACAGAATGTACTACCATAGTCCTACAAAACAAACTATTGTCGTTTTTTTGGCGGGCTGTGGTAAAGGGAGCTGAACGAAAAAACTGGAGACTATGTATAATCGACATTCATATTAAAATAAGCAAATTGAAAAAATTTTTTTTAGAATAGTTACTTGAAGTTTTTCAAGTTTTGCAGTTTTTTGAATTTTTGAAAATTTTTGATTCCAAAAAGGCGCTAACATATACTCAAAGTAAATTAATGTTACTCTAGTAAAATTAAGTTTATACGTTTTAGATTGAGCTATTGTCAGCTTTTAGGCAGTTGAAATAAGATAGCTTGCTCGCTTTTTTTGCTCAAACTAAGACGAAAAATCGAAAACTTCAAACCGGTTTTTCTCGACACGGAATTTTTTTTAAATTTCTGAATGTGGTTTGAATCACGACTTTAGGGTCTTTAATATGATATATCACTCAACCCCGTCCGATGATTATTTCGTGGTACCTGATTTTGCGTGGAGAACAAAAAGAAAAAAAATAAAACACACCCGAATACAAAGTTCCTCCCCATTTTCAATTGTCAGAACTAAAATTTATTAATAAAATTTAGGATTGCCATAAATCCATTTTGTTGTTTGATACCTGTTTTTGAGGCATTTAAATCAACCCAAATTAAGTTGAGTCACTTTGAATTGATTTTAATAATTTTTCTTTAACCATTTCAAAACCTATCAGCTTTTACAAACTGTATACCATTTTTTTGGACTTGTTGGACTCTCAATTGACATGAAAAAGTGAAAACAAATTATAAAATATGCTTCTCATTCAATTTTTGTGCTGATGTGCGAACTGGAAAAAATATAAAATATATTCAGGTGGAATTTTTTTGGAGCGGAAATAATTTTTAACTTTTAGTTTTTTGATTGTTTTGCTGATTCGCTTTGAAAAATTGCGAGAAAGTGTTGAAACTACTTCGAAGAAAACTAATTTGAAGAGTTTTTGCATACCATTACTTTTTATCACCACGGCAACCCTTACATTTCGAAACTTCGAAGGGATACCCTGAAACTAATTGTTTGCGGTAAATAAATCTGCTCAACTGACGTCTAGATCACGGTTACACTGATGGAAACTTTTCTTGAGTACAAAAAATTCTGCTGAACTTACAGTGCAGAAAAAAAAACTTTTTTAAAATCATTTTTAATAAATTCAAATGGAATTTTGTGACTAACAAAATCTACACTATCAACTTAAATCATGTTTTCAGGCTCTGAAATTGATCCCAACCTAAACGTTCCGAGTAGATCGATTTAGTTAATTTAGATTTACTTTCAGTTCCTAATGTTGTTATTATTGATCGTTTTGAATTGATTTAAAATGGATTGAAATCGAACATAGTTTTAGATTTGCCAGTTATTGTATTCTTATTAAATCAGCAAGATAACTCAAAAGCCTCTGGGTACCGCATGTTTTAAATAGTGAAAAAATGTCCAACAATTTATAGGGAAACAGAACTTTCTTATCAACAAAGAAATTTTCATAGGTAAATCACATTTGCAACATTTAGATCACCTTCACACAGGCGCGGATCTAGAAACTTCTCAAGGGGGGGGGGGTTTAAAAAAAGTTTTGAAAATTTTGTCGACATTTTTTTAGGTTGACCAAATTGTTTTTCTGAGCTCTTTCAAACCACTATAAAGACCGTAATTTGACCAATTTTTCTGCGCCGCTGGCAAATTTTTTTGAACAATTTTGGCCACAAAATTGCGTTTTTTTAGGCTGGCGCTCCCCCGTCAAAATTAGTATAGATTGGCGCCAAAGGCGCCTTTAGAAAAATTTTAAGGTCAGTCAGCCAAAAATGGATATCTCAAAATAGTACAAAGGGGCACCCTTTGGGTTGGCAGGGGTCGAATGCCTGAGGGGGGGGGGGGGGGGGGGCGTCCGCTTCCACGCCCCTTCCACTAAATCCGCTACTGCCTTCTCATAATATTACAAAAATGATCATATCAGGGTGCTGTTATATTTTTTTAAAATTGTTTTAGGGTTTGAAGTATATTGGCCTAAAGTTTTAATAAGAAAAAAAAGATAGAATTTATAAATTTTTGTTCTGAAAACTTCACGACACACTCATTGTAAAGTACAAAACCGCATAGACAAAAGTGTTTTTTGATCGATTTGAGTTCGTTTTAAGTCAATTTTTTAGTCCATCAAAATTGGTTAAACACAAACACTTGGCAAACAAATTGGTTAAGCACATTCAAGTCAATCTATCCTGAAAATATTGGATGCTATTTTTTTTCGCTCGCAAACTAATGTAACCCAATTTTATACGCTTACGTCAACGTAAAAGTTATGGAGAGCAGTGTAGCTGAAAATTCCTTATCTTGCGGTATTAAAACTTAAAACTACCTCCGGCTTCTGATACTATTCTGAAACATCTCCAATTAAACTTTAAGTGTTTTTGTTTGTTTTCAGGATGCGGACCTGGATGTTCTGATGGCCAACCACAACATCACTCTGGGCACCATCATTCTGTTCAAGCCTGAACAACACATCTTCTCCTATTCAGACGCCGCCGTCACGGGGGGAGGGGTAGGAGGAGCAGGAAACAACTATGACGTAAGATATTTAATTGATTCGAGCTATTTATTCCTCTCAAACTGTCAATTCCATTTAAAGATTCCATGATTGGTTTCCGAATAATAAGTAATTACGGTAAAGTTTTAATTCCTGCTTTTGCGTCACAGGTGAGATTTCTCTAACCAAAAACTTTGCCAAATATTTCACATATTCCCTTTAATTAGGGGAATGGGTTTAAACAACTGTTCAACGTTAAGAGGCGAACAGATCATCTTTTGGTCTTTTCCCTTGTAGATAATTAGTCTTTAAAACCCATTCATCTAGTTGAATACAAAATAGATTCAAATATTTGGTCAGTTTTTAGTCATAAAAAATCTCACTTAATTGAGGACATTACTGTTTTAGTTGCAGCTGAAACTGAACATGTCATTTCAAATGCTGTTCAACTCTTTCTCAGAACTCACTAATGACCAAATAGTCCCACCATCTCAACAGTCTGAAAATACTCGCAAGTGTGGACTCAACGCTACTTGGACATCCCGAAATGGTATGAGTAGGGGGAGTTCAGATCTCATGGACAGCATAGACAAGGTTAGTAGCAAAGTTGAAGCTCTCGGAGAGTTTTTGATGATTAATTACTAAATCATGCTATTAAACAGAGTCAAGTCTTCAGTTATTTTAATTGGTCGAAAAAGTTATTTTAATTGATCAAAATATTTAGGCACCTGACACTAATTTTGATCGACACATGACACCTAAATCTCTCAAAATTGGAAACGCACAATTTGTTGTATCAAATGAAAACATAAATTTTAAGACATCAATCCAAGCAAAGATAATTTCTACAGGCAAACGATGAATATCAGGTTGTTTCTTTTCTATTAATTTTTCTAATGTTGAGTCGTGACTCATTTATGAGTTGTTGAGTCATTTATGCTTCGAACTTCTTTGTTGATGGTAGTGACGATGGAAGTGGGTAGTGGCGACTCTCATTTGGAGATTTTTTGAGTGCATTTAAGAAAACTAATTGTCTAATAAAAACTCTTTTGATACTCAAAAGTTTTTTAAAACTAAAAAAACTATGTCCCCAATCTAGATCCGACACTTAGGCCCATTATTCATCTTGATGATCAATGTTGTGGGCTGCTAATGATTTTTCTCGACCTGAACATAAAAACCTTGAAAACAAATTTCAAAACAAAAAGAAAACGTGCAACAATGACATTAAATTGTTTATTTTTCAAAAGTTTTTTTCAGAAATGTTTTCAGGCTGATAAAAGTTAGGATGCATGGTTATCTTTTAGTTTCTTTAACACAAGAGGCGAAGGGGAGCTTCGAGTCACTTGCGATATCACACACCCAAAAAACTTAAGACGTCGAAACAAAATTGAAAAACGTTTGAAAACTAGATCTACCGAAAAAAAATGTAAGTCTCGGTAGAATTTTTTTTAGGTAAAAATTCCAAACATTTCAATATCAAATTAGTAACTGAACGAAAATTACAAGGAGGAGATTATGTTTTCGAATTTTCAAGTCCCACTGAAACTAAACTGGACAAAACCTGCACTTGTTAAAAGTTGCTTATAGCACAAGCAAAATCCGTGATGTGGCACCTAAGCCGACAAGGCTTTAGCAGATGAACGCAAGTCTGACAATTCCATTTTTTACAGGAAAAAAATCCAATTGAATAAATACCGAAAACAAGAACCTACCGAGACTCGAACCCAGAACTTAGGGTGCAAAGGGTCCATTTTGAAAGTTATTATTCAATTGAACCCTCTACCACTGCCTAAAAAATGTTTTTTTTTGAAAAAAGATTAGAATTTATTACAGAAGTGACATCCCACAGCAAGAAAAAGAACAAACCACGCATCCCTACCATTATTAGAACCAACCGCCCCCTCCTCCCTCCATATCGTTTGGATCCTTGACACCTTATCCCACTTCCCTCAACGTTTGCCTTTTTTTTACCTTTTCCACTTCCCTCAACGTTTGCCTTTTTTTTCACCTTACCCACTAACAATAGTCCATTTATCTTTGTCTTTTACCCACGCCACCACCCACTAAAAGAATCAAATACACCCCACACACACACACATACGCTCACAAAAACCAACCCCCCCCCTCCACCTACCACCAGAACCAACCTCCACTTCTCCAAGTTTTCAAGCAAATTAAAAAATGATTTAAAGCAGCAAAATTTTGGGTGCGGATTAGACAAGGTACACTTGTGAGTCAAACAAATTTTTTTGTGCATGAAATAAACTTATTTTCCTTCAAAAAAGATGGACTGTACTAAACCCAAGAACTGCTATATTGCTTGTTAGGCTGATATGCTGCTGACATGCTCAACTTCTCGAAAAATCAAATTTAATTACTGGTTGCAGTGCTTTTTACTGGAACTTTTTCAGAATATTGATTTTTTGTCGGTTTCGGGGATGTTGTTCCAACTTTTCACGGATTACTTGCTGGTTTAAAAATTTGTAGTACCTTTTCTCTTCAATTGTTTCATCTGTTGTAGAGGTAAAAGCAGAAGCTTGAGACGACAAAGGTCTGAGTGTTTAATCAGGGCCGGGACCTTTTTTTTCAAACTAGAAACTTTTTTTTGTTTCGGACTTTCGCCCATCTATTTCGTTTTGTCAGCTTAGATCCCGTACTATGTCAACTATCTTTTTTTCTAGAATCAACCTTTTCTAAATCTTTTTGAACACCAATAATGGAAGCACTTGAATAAAAAAAACTGTTAGCTGAAATTTTGTTGCCCTTTGTGATTTTTTCGAAAACATTTATTTTGTATTTCAATGCGCACCGAAGTCTTATATATGCGGTAATTAAGGGTTTTTTAAGACCAATGAACGCCACAAACCTTTGTTTGAATGCTGAAAACCAACTCCACAAGGATGAACTCTGTAAAAACGTAAGCAAGTTGATCTTGAAACAACTTTAGTTTTCGCGTCAACAAACATAACACACTGATCCTTAAGTGTGTCTAAAATTAGTTTAGAATAACTACTGCCTACGACTACACTGCCACTTACGATACAAGTTATTGGAAAAACTAGGTAAACAAGACTGTGCTCGTATAAGGGTAAAGTGTTGAATATTCCGACTGCATTTTCATTGCTATGGAGTGTTTAAATCAAAGTATTGGACTTAGTATTGGCAGAATAACTACTGCCTACGACTACACTGCCACTTACGATACAAGTTATTGGAAAAACTAGGTAAACAAGACTGTGCTCGTATAAGGGTAAAGTTTTGAATATTCCGACTGCATTTTCATTGCTATGGAGTGTTTAAATCAAAGTATTGGACAAATTTCGAAAAAAAAAAAATTTCCGTCGTTTTTTTGAAATTCATCATTTGTAATATATCAAAGTATTAAATAGAAGAGCTTGTCTCAGTTCAATTTGGAACGATTTCTAAGACGGATTAAACCGGACTTTTTGTAAGACGGGTTACTATGGACTTTTTTAAAGCATCAAAAAAATTGTTAATGTCCTGAGCTCAAATTAATTAAAAAATTTTCTGTGTGATTATTTTTTGTGAAGATAGCCATTTCAGGGCGATTTGGGACAATTTACGCGAGATAGGTTTCACACTATTAACGCGTAAGTGGAGATTTTTTCCGTCTTGGAAATCGTTCCAAAATGAATTGAGGCTTACAATGCTGGGTTGTTATTGCTATGCTATATGCAAAACAACTTGTCACTTTGTACTTTACATAGCGTGATGGGAAGAATTTTAAAACAAATTTTCTTTAAAAGTTCTGAAGTTTTCACTTTTTTGATTAGAAACTTTTCTATAGATTTTAAAATGCAGTCGGAATACTCAGGGCTGCTTCGCGTTGATAAGAACAGTCATGTTAATTTGTTCTCTAAAATTTATAAAAAAAAATATTAAACTAAAACGACTTCAGTACTTTAGCTCGATACAATTTGACGCTTACTCTTGTGTAGATGATTTCTTTAACTATTTAATTTATTTACTTTTTCTCAATCCAATCTCAAAGTTACTATAGTAACAGCCAATAAGGTGTAGCAATTGATTTCCAATTTTTTTTTGCATTTTTGACACACATAAACTTTGAGGCTCTCCTTCGATGTTCTAGCAATACCAAGCTGCGAACTTTTGGAAAATTTTCACTGAATCGTTTGCATAATAAAAGTCGATTAATATGAATCCTTTAACTTGAATTGTTAAATACTTTTGAGGCTTCCCTGCAATTCAACTAATCATCATAACTTTGATTTCAACTTTGATCTTCTTAAGAAGCATCTTCGGTAGCAAGAAAATGAAATATACTACATTGCTTTTTTGTACGTAGTTTTCCTGGCTGTGAAAATATTCGCAACAAACAGACGAGTTGCACTTCCCGAAAACATTCGGGATAATATACCAACAAGTTCGAGCCTTCTGAAACAAGTTTTTGGAGTATCGAAACGCTTTTGTTTCATGGCTTGTGTCGACAGCATTGATTGCGTCAGCATTGACTACCAAAAGTCTCTCGCGTGCCTTCTCTTTTCGGACAATTACAGATCACTGGCAGAAGATGAAAAAGACCAACTGGCTGCTTTGCCGTTATTCGATTTTTACTCATTGGTTCCAGAAACCGGGGCTGAAATGTAGCACTGACGGTTCTTCTGGAAATGTGGGATTAGACTAGTTTTGAGATTCAGCAGCCAAGATTCGAGTTTGGTTCTGGGCATCTTGGAGTGGATGTGAATCTGTTTTCGATGATGACTCGTGCGCAGGGAAAATGGTTGTCGGATAAAATAGATCCAGAAAATGTGAATTCGATCCGTTAGATGTGCTTTACGGAGTTGAAGTTTTCTGTGAGGGTGAAAATATTGAAAATCAAACCAAACCTGTGAAGTTTTTTCAAGTTGAAATTGATGAAATGGAGTCTTCGAAGCAAGTTTTTGAACGCAACAACCTAACTTAGTTTTACGATTTGCACATTCTATGCGATGGCTCAAACACGTTCACGCGTGATATGATTTTTTGGACTGATTTCACGTGTGTTGAGGATGTAAATTTGTTTTTGAACAGTCTTGAAACGATAGAATTGAAAACGGTTAGCAGACTGTGGGCAAATGGTCAACCCGACAACTGTGGAGTTGTACTTGACCTTTTAGGAATTATAAAAGAAGAAAATTGTGTGTGGGTTGAAAACCTGAAGCTTAGACACAACGCCACCGCTCTTCCACTATGCGGAATAATACACTCATTTGCAATTCCTACGAGTGCTTGAATTGTACTGAACAAAGCAACGATTGCTCTTATAATTTTTGAAAAGTGATCAAACTTTCTTTGCGATATTTATATGAGGCAACCGACACCGAGCGCCTATGAATCATAATCGATTATATTGTCATAATATGGTCGTAATCTCTAAAAATTCGAAATAATTAATTATAATCCACTACGTTGCTACTTATTACGTTTTATAAAAAATTATATTTCACATTAAAATTTATATGTACATTTTTTTTTATTTCTACTTTTTCAATTCATCGCAGTTTAACACTTCATTTCACTGTTTTTTATTCAAAACCGCCTTTCGCAGGGAAGGGGGGCAAGGATTGAAC